ATATATACTCGGATCGAATGAACTCGACTCGAGCTCAACTCGAGTTTTTAACGAGCCGAAACGAGCTACTCGATATTCGACTCGAAAAGCTCGTGAGCAGCTCGAAAATATAATATATTAAGATTTTATTATTTTAGAAATAAATTATTAATAATATTAATATTTATGTATTGATTTTTTTATAAAAAAATACAGTAAGATTTCTTGTATTTAAGGTTTATGTTCGAGTTTGAGGCTTCAATCGAGTTAAGTTTAATAATTTTTTTTTATTTCGAGCCTTTTCGAGCTGCTCACGAGCTTCAGTTTAGGATTTCGAGTTCGAGTCGAGCTTGAAAATTTTAAGCTCGCGAGTTTTCGAGTCGAGTCGAGCTTCATTTCAAAGTTTTCGAGTCGAGTCGAGCTCAGCAATACTCGAGCTCGACTCGGCTCGTTTACACCCCTATCTATACTTATTAAAATAATTATATGGAAGCTTTGTATGTGATTTAAAAATTTAGAAAAAGGTATATGAAATATTCTTTAGCAAAGAACTATCAAACCCGAATATTTCAACCATTAACCTTCTGCTCATATTGAAATATGTAAGCCATAAATCATCTATCAACCTCTTCACCTATAATCTATTAATTCATCCTGAACTATATATCCTAAATTCTAAACCCTAAATCATAAAAACCGTAAACCATAGTTATTGAATATAAAACGATTTAGATTTAAATAATTTGATTTATCTCATTTAGGGGTTTTTTATGGAAAATCCTAGTGTTCTTTTATCGAATAGATTTGACTCGAGCTCAAACTCGACTCGAATTCTTAATGAGCCGGAAAGAACTACTTGATATCTGACTTGAAAAACTCACGAGCAACTAAAAAAATAATATATTGAATATTTATATTAAATATTATTAACATTAACATTTATATGTTGTTCTTTTTAAAAAAAAATACAATATAAGACTTTCATGTAGTTAAGATTTAGGTTTGAGTTCGAGCTTCAATCGAGTTAAGTCTAAGAATATTTTGAATTTTAAAATTTTCAAGCACTATTCGAGCTTCAATATTTGATTTCAAGTGAAACTTGAAATCCTAAGCTTACGAGCTTTCGAGCCGAGTTTCAATTTTTTTTTTTTATTTCGAGTTTAAGTCGAATTCAATTTTATACTTTTTCAAGTCGAGTCGGGTCGACTATATTCGTTTACAGCCCTACCCGTGAGGTTCAAGCATGGATGAAACGTTTTAAGCACATGGTTGACTTTATACATGTAAAATTTCACTATAAACACAGGGTTCGATTATCTAATACTTCACACAGTTCACTCAAACACATACATATTGCAGCTTCAATCTTGAAAACATGAAAAGAAATATGGGCCGGGAAACAAGATGGTGACAGTGTTGAGTGTGGATGCAGGTGGCATTCTAAGCCTTATCTCCGGCACTATTCTTGCTTTCCTCGAAAAACAGCTTCAGATTATTCGGAAACCCGAAACTTTTCGTCCGATTTCATGTCTAAATACGAATAAAGAATCCGAAAAGAAACATAAGTTTTTTATTTTCTTACATGCGGTTGATATTATGTTGTTGGTAGAAATTGGATGGATCAGACGCTAGAGTTGCCGATTATTTCGACTTCGTTGCGGGAACGAGCACCGGCTGGCTGATAACCGGCATGTTCACTGCTCCGGTGCACAGAGGCAGACCTATACCTGTGGACCATATCAATACTTTCTATTACAAACATGGCCCCAAGATCCCCCCCCGATAAGTAAGATCAAACGGAAACCAATATGCTTGGTTCAATATGTTATTTTGTTCATGCAGAATCAAATTTTTTACTCATCATTTTAATTTCTTTAGACGTCCTACATCATTATCGGATTTTCCAAAAACTCATCCAGTGTACGACGGAAGGCCGCTAAGGAATGCTGCAGAGCTATACTTATTGGGCTTCACTATCAGTGAAACCGTGACGAATGCGGTTATTCGACATCAAGCTTCTTCAACCGGTCATCTTCTCGACCAACGATGTATGTGTGTCAGTTCCAAAAAGAAAAGCAGAATGTTGAAAATTTTATCATTTAATGATGCATTCGATTCTTTGAATTAATCACAGGGAAAGTCGGATGTTTCGAGCAATGTTTCCTCAGCCAATGCCTGCGTCAGCACCGCCTCCGCCCCTATTTACTTGCCGGCACAGGAATTTTCACCTCCAGAGGATGCCAACCGCAACGACTACAGATCCCACAGTACCTTAGAAAGTCTTCGGTGGACGCCCTAACAAAACAGCAGTCAGAGGAAACTTGCATGATATCACATACAAAACGAACACAATCATGGGTGTCGTTAAAAAACCTTCCTAAACCTAGATGGGGGAAAAAGAGTTTATCATGATCGTGGGTCAAGAGTAGCAACACCCACCCTACATATTTGTGCAACTCTACACAACTGAACAAAGCAACCAAGTCACCAGTAATGGACTTACAAAGATAAATATCACAATATGATTTTGGATCACACCCTACTGAGGATAACAGAAATAAGACATCGAATAGATTCATGGATAGTTAACTCAGATTCGACTGAACATAATTATTAGTCGGAAATATATTCAACATGTGAGAAACAAATTTAAAACACAAGGATATTTTCATTATTTTACATTAAGCATTCATAAAACATGCCTTTAAATATAAGTATCAGAGTTAACCTACTCATACGATAGCTATATGCAAAATCTTAACTCAATCAAGGTTTAAAAAAAAACCTGAAATGAAAAACCTTCAATATTAAGGACCAAATCATAAAAAATATAAAACTTAACAGGCCCACGTGACATGTAAGAACGAAATTTAAAATCTAACTACTAAATCTATCTAACACGTTAATTCACGAATAACTATAATTATCATATGTCTGACACCGTCAGTTAGGGTGACTATAAATGTTCTTCGATCACGACTAAGAAAGAGATCAAACCTTCGACAACCTATACATTATCTCTTTCTTCTCCTTATGATCAAATTCCTCCCTCATAAAAATCAAAAAGATAAATATATTTTAAGGACTAAATTATAATGAGCCCAAAATGCTTATCATATTCTGTCGATGAACCCTATGCTCAAATTTAAGCTATTCCACGACGTGAGGAGATTTGCCAATTAAATTACACAATATCCAATGAATTTGTGTTAATATTCAAATTTTATGTGTTGAAATTCGATAACGCAATAAATACGATCCGCATAAATGGGATCGATCATCTATATAATATGCAACTAAATCATATATTATTATACGTATCTCTAGTTCGTATAAATAATATTTCATTATGAGATTTGCAATTTCGCCCATGCCGATTTGTTACATGGTTGACTCCTCAAGAAAACATTTGTGAATTATAATATTTTATGGGTTGAAATTTAATAATTATATATATATATATATATATATGGTATGTGTTTTTTTGTCATTTAGAGATTTTTACCGGAAAAAAAAAGTTAGTTTGGTCTATTTTTACGAATGAGGACAACAATAATCCACTATAAATATATATAGATCACGAACGATACAAAAATATAATATTTCATGTATCCTAAAATCTGGTATCTATACCAAAACCTGAAGTATCCCATATCACTTTTCCCACGTCCTTATAAAACTCGTAACATAAACCCTAAAAGTTATAGAGACTACAAAAATGTTATATCTTAATTGCGTAAGATATATTACCTGAAATAAGTATTTACTTATTAAATAAATTTGATTATCAAGTAATATTCAACTACAAGAATTACAATAAAATCTAATTTAATTATCTGTTAGAATTTGATTCAATATTTAACAATCTCCCCTTAACACAAATTTCATTCGCGCATTAGTCTTCTAAGTCTTCAACAGTTTCAGTTCTTTCATAATATTTATTGAAACAATACTGGATCAATTGAGAATTACACCTTTTACAATTGAAAATCCGAGTTAGATTAACAATACTGGATCAATTGAGAATTACACCTTTTACAATTGAAAATCCGAGTCAAAATCTAACGCAATCTAACATATTGAATTGATAAGTATTTTTTTTGACAAATTCTAAATCTAATCCTATTCTCACCTTGAGGGGAGGGGAAATGGGGACTCTATGAGAAGGAAATGGAGTGTTCCTAATGAGTTTAAAAGGCAAAGTTGCTCCTGTAGGGTAGTGAAAAAATTATTGGCTCATATAGGGCTTCCCTGGATTTATTTTTTGATCTAGTGTGAATGTTATAGAGCCCGTCGGGAGACGCCGTGAACTAATGTGTCTTCAGGAAGACGGAGCGACCATGGTGCATCTTCTGCTTTGTTCCTATGGTAATCTTGGCATTCCAATTTTGTGAAAAATGGGAAAGAATGGGAAAGACACATTATGTTTCCGGCGTCTTCCCTGACACTGTAACGATCACACAATTTCAATAAATAATTACGGCGAAACCACATGCAACCCAATTATTTTTTAACGCCCCATGCAAGCAATTTTGTCGAGTTTAAAATCCATAACGTAAGTGAATATGAGAGAATAAATATGAACAACTTGACCAACCGGTCAAATATGTTTGCTAAATTAAAGAGACATTATTGGGCAGATTTCATAATTGAATTTTGGCTTAAGGGTTTCTTTTACCCTATAATAAACTCAAAATATCATTATCATCTCTATGGTATTTTCGCATCAATTTAGCAATCGAAATTTTAGCAATCGAAATTGTTTAATTGCATCATCTTACTTCCTACACCCTAAACCCTAACTTAAACCTATGATCAATGATTTTTTAAATATTAGACTCAACCCTGTGATAGGTACAAAATTAAAATTTTCAACAATGGCGGGCTTACAGATTCCCTTGAGGTTCAACCATGGATGAAACGTTTTAACCACGTGGTTGAGTTTATACGTGCAAAATTCACTATAAATACAGGGTTCAATCGTCGAATGCTTCACACAATTCACTCGAACACATATTGCAGCTTCAATCTAGGGAATACGAAAAGAAATATGGCTACTCCTTCGGCGGCAAACAGGATGGTGACGGTGTTGAGTGTCGACGGAGGTGGCATGCGAGGCCTTATCCCGGGCACTATTCTCGCTTTCCTCGAACAACAGCTTCAGGTTCTTCGTAAATCTAAAACGTTTCATCCGATTACATGTCTAAATACAAAAGAAAGAAACATAAGCTCATGTCACATGCGGTCGATTTTATGTTGTTACTAGGAACTGGATGGACCGGATGCTAGAATTGCGGATTATTTCGACGTCGTTGCGGGAACAAGCACCGGTGGGCTGATATCCGCCGTTCTTAACGTTCCGGCGGCGGACGGAGACCAACCTTATCCTGCGAGAGAAATCAATACATTCTATTATAACTATGGCCCCCTCATTTTCCCCCCGGATCAGTAAGATCAAAGGGAAACCAATATGTTATATGGCTATAATTTCTTGATGTCATGATCAAATTTTGATTGATTTTAATTTCTTTTAGACGCCCCACATCGATAGAGGACTTTCCACTTAATCGTCCTGTGTACGACGGAGTGGCCCTAAGAGAGGCTGCAAATACATACTTACAAGGCATCACTATGAGCCAAACATTGACCAATGTGGTCATCCCAACATTCGACATGAAGCTGCTTCAACCAGTCATCTTCTCAACCAACGATGTATGTATGGAAGGACGGACGTAGAATTTTATGTTAGAGGAATGAACTTGAACTTATAAAATTTCAGAGGACGAAAACAGATTTTCAATATAAAATGCATAAAAAAATATAAAATATATAATAATTTTAAATTTTCAGGGAGGACGACTGTCTCGCTCGCCTCCCTCGATCCATTTCTGTATATATGGATCAATTTCAAAAAATCAGAATATTGAAAAATTTTATATTTAATGACACGTTGGATCGTTCGAATCACAGGCAAAGTCGGATGTCTCGAGCAACGCTTTGTTAGCCGATGTAAGCGTCAGCACCGCCTCCGCCCCTATTTACTTGCCGGCACAAAAGTTTACAACTCAAGATACCGGCAACCGACTCCGCGAATTCAATCTCGTCGATGGCGGAGTCGCAGCTGTTAATCCGGTCCGTCCGTAGGTTTATGACATATATTTTTTCATGTTGGTCACATAATTGTTTACCTTTATATAATATATCGGATTTGCAGACATTGGTAGCTATGGACAGCGTCCCCAAGCAAGGGGAAGCGTTGGATTACAGCAAGCTCCTAGTGCTGTCACTGGGGTGTGGTGAAGCCAAGTTTGAACCTAAATATGATGCAGACCTTGTCAACAAATGGGGCTTGATCAATTGGATGTTTTACCAGAACGGTTCTCCGTTGCTTCAATCACTGACTACGGCAAGCTTCGACATGGTCGATTTTCATATCGCTGCTCGGTTCAAATCGTTCGGCTCCGATAAAAATTACCTCCGGATTCAGGTACCAAGATAAGCATTTCAAGTTTTTCTTAGATAATTCGGATTAGATGTCCGAGAAGAAAAATAGGAATACGGATCATTTAAATTCTAATTTAGAATTATAAATATGATAAAAATTAGATCTTTATAGTCTATACAACTTCTAGGCCAATAAATGAGTAACTAGCTAAGCCTCTAGTCCATGAAAATTAAGATGTTTAATTGTTTATTGTGGGTGAATTTACACGTTTTTAGAATCGTTAGATGAATAAAAATAAAATGTTGTGATTATTTCTTTTGTTTTTTCAGTTAATATATTCTCATTTTTCTATTGTTAATCTCGGTTATTTATTTTTACTCATCAAATGATCCTAAATTCATGGAAAACTAAAAGATTTTATGGTAAAGTACAAAAATAGTCTCTCGACTATATGACGTTGCTTTGTTGAGTCTTCAAACTATTAAAAGTTACAAAATGATCAATAACATATGATTTTGCTTTGTTGAGTCTCACAGCTATTAAAAATTACAAAATGATTCTCTGACTATATGGTGTTGCTTTGTTGTGTCACCGACTATTAAAAGTTATAAAATGATCACACAATTATTCATATGTTCCAAACTTATCATTTTCCGTTAAAAATTGGCGGTTGTCTGAGCTATATGTAAACCATGTTGACTGAGATATGATAAATTATGATCCTAGTTTTAGTTGTATATTTTAACGACCCTATGTTTATATTATACTATCGAGCCAGAGCTTAAAAGCAAAGACGGTGCCAGTAGACATTATTAAACTATGATTCTATTGTATCTCAGTCAACAGATTAACGTCTAGTTCAGACGACCGTCAGTTTTTTAACAAAAAAATAACGAGTTTGAAAGATATGAATAGTTAAGTGATCATTTTGTAACTTTTAATACTTGGGGACTCAACAAAGCAATATCCTATAATCGGGGTCTATTTATAACTTTTAATAATCGGAGCTTAACAAAACAACATTCTATAGTCGAGTTATCATTTGTATACGCTACCCAAAATATCAGAGTGTAAGCGAATCGTGCCCCGTACATATATAACATAAGAAAAAAATGTTTTAGGTAGATTTAGATATTCATATCAGATGCGAACCATAATTCTAGTGATCTAAATTTTCAGATATCCAAAAATACAAACTCGTAGGCCTAATATATTTGTTGGGTAAACAGGAAACGAATTTGACTGGAGATGCGTTGCATTTTGATCTTGCAACAAAGGAGAATATGGACAACCTTGTTCAAATTGGACAAAACCTGTTAAACAAACCGCTGTCGAGGGTCAATCTGGAGACCAGAAGGTTTGAAAAAGTTGAAGAAGAAGGACTCATCGTCACCAATAGAGATGCTCTTGTCCAGTTTGCTAGGATGCTCTCCCTAAACAGGAAGCTCAGGGTTGCTCCTTAAATTACTTCTAAATTCGGGTAAATTACATCGGATCGAACTTTATGTATTGTATCGTTTATACCACCGAAGTTTCAATTTTACCAATTATAGTATTGAATTTTGACTTTCGTCACAAGTAAGCCATTGGGTAATAAATCGTTAACGGCCAGATCAAAATGACGTCGTTTTGATGAGCTATCTACTTCGACAGCCGTCAGCCACGTCATTATGCCGTTAACGATTTAACGGTTCAGTGGTACGATTGAAACGAAAATAAAAATTTAGTGTTATAATTGAAAAAAATTGAAAGTTCAATAGTATAAACGGCACAATACCTAAAGTTCGATGATGTCTGATGTAGTTTATCCTTTAAATTTTCAGTGTAATAATGCTTTCTTCGCATAAGGCCATTTTCCTTTTTTCTTAATAATGTTGTGTGTCGGAATAATTATGAAGATCAGTTTTGATCTTTCTAATAACTGTTGTTTATGCAATTATGTAATGAAAGGTGTTTTATCTTTGATTTGCATATATTTTGAGGGGTTTTTTTAAATATTTCTCCAACCAATAACTTATATAGTTATATTTCCGGTCAATTATAATTTAAGGGTAAACTATACAAATAGTCTCTTTTATTTTTGGTCTGACAGAATAAGGTTACCGATTTAAAAATTAAGTACGTTTGATCTTTTACTTTACCAGTTCGTTCGGTTTAAATCTTTCGGTCGTAGCTTTCGTTAACCTATTAACGAAAGTCTGGGTTGATAATTAAAAAAAAAATCATAAAACCTACGGTAAAACCTAGAGTGGAGAAGAAGACAAGTGGATTTAAAAAATAATAATTGTCATGTAACACTTCCGTTAAGGGATTGAGGAGAGTTAATGGCTGAGGGACTTAAATCGATCGGACTGATAACGTAAGAGACCAAACACATTTAATTTTTTAATAAGTGATCAAAGTCGATCAAACCAAAAATAAATTGACTATTCGTATAGTTTACTCTGATGTCTATTATATTGATTACGTGATATGATAATAAAAAAGTATTATTTTAGTCGATATTTCCATTGAGAAAAAATGATCTGATTTCTTTTAAAAAATTTGGTGATCGAAATTAATTAAAAAATAAGATTCAAATTTGTTGAAAATATATAAATATATAAATATATAAATATTAAAGATTAAATTTATCTTTATGCTTTGTTTTAAAAAAATGCACTTGATTGACTAATTACAGCCAAAAGAATCAATTGTGATGCAGAAAAAATGCAAACGTGCAACCTCGTCCCCAACTTTCAATCTAAAAGCCAAATGGATACCGACAATTAGTTGATCTAGTGAGATAAGATACTAAATTCTTTAAGCAGCGTCAGATGTTCGAATCATGACGATTGTGTATGGAATAAATTGAGTAGGGAAAGTTGTCCCCATAATGAACCTTTACAAAACTCGATCTGGATTAATTAATTAATAGATTAGGTGAGAATTGGGCCCATTTGGGCCTAGGAAAAAGGAATTTTTGTAAGGAAGTTAAATGTGGAGAGATCAATTAGGTAAATAACCCATTGGAAGAAAATGAGATTGTTTTCCTTTGGGGGGATTAAAATACCCGTTAAAAATTTAACGCTAAGTTTTGAAATTAGGTACTAAACCAAAACAAAACTGATATTTTGAGTACTAAACAAGTTAAGTTTTTAATGACGGAGTACTAAAATGAAATGAAACTAAACGTTAGGTATCATTTTGAAAAATTTAAAAGTTTAAGTACTAAAAAAGACTAAAACTGATAGTTTAAGGACTAAATACATAGTTTTCTCAAATATTTAATGAATTTATCAGATGTAAAGAATTATATCTTTATATGTGTCCACATTCATTTCCCTTCAAATTTTGGCTTTGCCTAATATAACCGAACTTAATTGTTTTTTATTATTTTATAAATTTCGGTGAATACAAGATAGTATACGTTTGAAGATTCGAATATTTGACAATTAACGTTCATACTTTTATATACACGATGTTCGATCTTGAGACCTCAAGGGAGAACAACGTGTCCTTTAACCACTAAGTTCACTTGATTAATGTTCTTAATTATTTAATTAATTTTTAATAACCTATAATGATTATAATGTAATATCTATTTTAAAAAAATTTAACCAATTGACGACACATATGACCTGTAGGTACAACTGCTCGAACGCAAGGCAGAAGAATGATATAAATCGAAAAGAATGTTAAGTTCAGATTAACAATAAGAGAAAATAATCTCATTGACCAAAAATGCCTTATAATATACGATTTTAACCAACTTTTTTTGGATTTGCCAAAATGACCAACTAAATCGCAATGCGATCGATAATTCGCAACGCGATCTCCGGTATCGCAAATCAGTTTCCAAATTCGTTGCGATAGTCCAAAATCGCAACGACTGGTGGTATTGTATTTGCTTCTTAAGAATTTTCTCTAAAAAGATAGTATTCGCGCGGACGTGTCGAAGACACGTACGACCACAACCATGACACGAGACGGGACGGCGGCGGCGCTCGAGAGTCCCCCTTGTTCTCTATCACTCAACAAGGAGTGGGAAAGTCAAGCCTTAAATACCATTCCCAATAGTATTTCCAATACTATGTGGGATTGAGCATTACCAACACTTGTTCTCAATACTATGTGGGATTGAGCCTTATATAGTGATATTATTTTTTGAATGTTTTGCTTAAAATTGAAATAATCGCAATTGATTGTAGATTGACTTTTAATTATGACATATTTAATCGTATAATACTAATGCAATTGGTTTCTGATTCAATTGTTTTAAGGTGCATGATTGTTAATTGTTTCCTGAATAATCACATTATATTGAAAACAAGTGTTGGTAATGCTCAATCCTACATAGTATTGGAAATATTATTGAGAATGATATTTAAGGCTTGGCTTTCCCACTTCCTTGTTGAGTGATAGAGAACAAGGGAGACTCTCGCGCGCCGCCGCCGCCGCCGTCTCGTCTCGGGTCGGGAATATAAATCATTGAGTCCTTTGCACGGAAATCATCCTGACGTTTGGGTTCTGTTAACAAACTGCCCAACGACTATTCTTTATATTTTAATTAAATCATTAGATTAATTAACTGTGTTCAGATAATCATTTTGGTCATTTAATTTTTTATGGGTATATTACAAATTTCATCACTAAATTTTACTCTCTCCCCTATTTTGCTCACTTAACTTTAAAAATTTTCAATTTCCTCATTAAACTTAATACATTGCGTTTTTTGTCACTCTGATGTTAAATAGTTAATAGTGTTAAAACGAGACCCTTTAAAAAACCAAAATTTTCACCAAAAAGATTTCGTTTTGTATTTATATAAAATCTCATTTTTAACACCGTTAGTGAGAAAACTAGGGGTATTCACTATTCGGTTTTAACTAAATTAACCGACCAAACCGAATTTGTTCGATCGGAGAACAATTACTTTTTTCCAATATTCGGTTAACGGTTAATTCAGTTCGAAATTAGTTAATTAACTAAATTGACCAAAATATTAAATATTATATATTATATATATTAAATCAATATTTTAAGTTCAAACCCATTAAGAATTAAGATACAATTATTTTTTAACCACACTAAATTCATTAAATTATAAATACCTAATTAAATTTTAACCCAAATAAAAAAATATCTCTATTATAATGAAATTAATTTAATTAAAAATTATTAAAAAATTGGTTAATCGACCGAAATAATCGAACTTTGTTCAATTCGGTTAATATTTTCAAAAAAAAAGTTTGGTTCAGTTAATGGTTAAAAAAAGTTTGGTTAATTTGATTCAGTCGATGGCCGAATTAACCGTTTGAACACCCCTAGAGAAAACAACTAAGTGACAAAAAATGAACCTAATGTATAAAGTTCATTGAGAAAATTTAAAAGATTTAAAGTACAAATGAATAAAATAAGAGAGAGTAAATTTAGTTATCAAATTTATAATTTACTTTTTTTTAAATTACAAAATGTCTATTAAATTTATTGAACTGATTAATGAATCCAATGATCATTTAAAAAATCAATTTTAATAATCAAAATGTTAATTTCAGCATAATTCAATAACCTAGAATATACTTTATCATTTTATTATAATATTTGTTATTTTATAATTTTTAATAATTGGAGTTTTATTATACATTTAGTAAAGGAAATCAAATGCAATTAATTTCACTTATATAGTTTAACATAGCAAATATTTAAATATGAATTTTAGATAATTATCATATTTAGAAGAAAAAAATCCAATTAAAATAACTATTTATTTTTAATAAAATATTATATTATATATTCATGATAAAATAGCAGTTAGTTTAATAAAATTATTATTGTTAATTTTTTTGAATATGTATTATATTGTAATCACCCTAGATTAATAAAGAGAAATATAATCATTGTTATTAATTAAGAATTCATGATATTTAAGAGTAAACTATTATTTATTAATTAAATCTTAATTTAACTAATATTTGCTTAATATAAATTTAAACATGTTTAAATATAATTATATTTGATTTAAGAGTTAGAATATTTATAAAATAATTTAGATATTATATAAAAAATATTTGAAATATCATAAAATTATTCATTTTATTTTTCACCTACATGTATGTGTATGACATTAACATTTCTCCTCTTTTGTTGAGGGTTCACATGACAACATAGATAAAAGAGAAAGCATTGGGTTTTGGGCGTGTTTGGCTATTGAAATTATTGGATTTTAGGTTTATTTTGTTTTAGAAACTAAATCGGTTCACACACGAAATAAATTAGTTCAGTGATTAAAAGAATAATTATTATTCTGAGAGGTTTTAAGTTTGAGTGTCAACGATTATAATAAAAATAATTAAACATTCATTAACAAATAATTAAAATATATAAAATAATTATTAATATATAATTATTTTTATTATATTTATCTAATAAAACACGGACTTGTTTATTTTGAAAAACATGTCACATTGTCTCTTATACTTCT